AGGGCTTGGCCCCATTTGTTCCCATCATCAGTAGCATGTATGCATATGGTATGAGCATGGTGTTGGTTTGCCTTAAGAATTCCAACACAACTATCAACTCGAAGTCATCTATGATCACCACTCGCAGGTTGAATTTTCCTTTGTAAGGGCCAAGCTTCACAGGCACCTCTTTGGCTATTCCACCCACTGGCTGAGGAGGTGAGTTGATAGCCTTAACACGACCTCTACCTTTTCCTACAACTAGACCAAGGCACTCCACCTGAGTCGAGGCTAAGTAGTTGTGGGTAGCACCCGTGTCTATCATCGCCCGAATGGGCTTGCCATTCACCTTCATCTCGACGAACATCAAGGTCCTCTCTTATTTAAGAGGAGTCCCCTCATCCGCCTTCTTTTTCCCTTTCTTGGTGATTGGACCTGAGTCTATCTTCTTACGGATACCAGCACTGGTCTCCGCTAATGCCTCAGAAATAGAGCCAACAATTGCATTGAAGGCACCTACTAGTTCAGTCTGGTCCGCATCATCTGAGTCGTCATTAGTCCCATCATCAAAAGCCTGATGGGCGTTCATCTGTGCTTGTGGGCACTCATTGTTCCAATGTGGTCCGCCGCAATGACGGCATCCTGAAGGAGGCTTTCTCCCCCGGTCATTGTTGTTTTACGCAACACTATTGTTGCCTGAGGAGGGAGCCTTAGATTTGGTTGCACTCCGATCTCCCCCACTTCTGCTAGGGCCACCATTGCTAGGCTGGCCCCCTTTGAATCCCGCTCGGGCAGGTGGCTGAGGCGTATCCTTCCGAGCTTCCACTTGATAGTCCCTAAGGCATTCAGCTACTTGGATCGCCTTGGGAAGGGTATCTACCCTTTGTCTTTGTAGCTCCATACGGGCATAAGGTTTCAACCCTTCCAGGAAGGTGAAGAGCTTGTCTTTGTCCCCCATGTCACGTATGTTTAGCATGAGCGCGGAGAATTCCCGCACGTAGTCCCGCACTGATTTGGTCTGGCGGAGCTCCCGCAGCTTTCTCCTTGCGTTGTTTTCAACATTTTCGAGGAAGAACTGTAGGCGTATGGCTGCCTTCAGTTCTGCCCATGTCTCGAGATCATCTTCACCGGGCTTGATGGCTTCGTACTTCACCCGCCACTAGAGTTTAGCATCACCCTGAAGATACATGGTAGCAGTTGCTACCTTCTTAGCTTCTTCTTGGCCCCCAACATCATCGAAGTACTGTTCGATTTCAAAGATGAAGTTTTCCACTTCTTTGGCATTCCTAGCTCCACTGTATGGGTTTGGCTCAGGAATTTCAGTTTTTGTGTCGCAGAAGCGGGGTTCACAGCGCCCCCGATTTGGTTTTCACCTCCTCGAAGCAGGCCCTGTAAAGCAGCATTGACAACATTGAGCTGGTCTGTCAAGTTGTCAATAGTTTCTTGCATGGCAGTCACCCTGTCTGCCTCTTGTGCCCTATAGGCTAAATCCTCGGCACGCTCCTGTTGGAGTCCCTCGAATTTGCCAAAAATTTCGGCTGCCTCTGTGGCGGCCGTTTATCGATATCCCTCAGAGTCGCGACTGATGTTTTCTATGTCAACTTTAGCCTGGAGCACTCTGCGGTCCAGGTCGTCCAACCTTTGCACTATGCTGGTTCTTAGTTCAGGCACCGTATCCACGATGGGTCGTAATACGTCAACCGTCTCTTCAAGGGTCACAATGCGGTCCCCATGATTCACCATGGTCAGAAATGGTGGTAATGGCAATGCGTTCCCTCGTCTGATGTCGAGCCTAGGCTTTGATACCAACTGTTACACGGCACCTTCCTGAGATTCGTTCTATGATTTGCTTTTGTGCTGCCATCCGTATTAAAGATGTTTTTCTTTTTTGTTCGAGTAAGTCTAAGTTTGTTCTTAACTCCTCGTCGTTTGACTCTTCCGTTGCCAATGTGAATCTTGTGCTGGTCTCTCAAATTTCAACTGGGATCAAAGCTTCCGACCCATATACAAGTGAAAATGGTGTTTCTCTCGTTGCTGTTTTTGCTGTGGTTCTATAAGCCCATAACACTCCTGGTAATTCCTCGGGCCAATTCCCTTTTGATTTTTCTAATCTCTTCTTCAAATTATTGATGATAATCTTATTTGTTGACTCAGCTTGTCCATTTGCCACGGGATGGTAAGGTGAAGAGATTATTTTATTTGCCAACTTTGAAAGAATTCTGTGATTTTCGAGCCTATAAATTGTGGGCCATTATCACATACGATTTCCTTTGGAACTCCAAACCGGCATATAATGTTTTGCCAAATGAAATCTTTTACCTCCTTTTCTCGTACCTGTTTGAATGCTCCTGCCTCTACCCATTTTGAAATAATCTGTTAACAATTATAGAAACCGTACCTTTTCTTTAGCTTGTGGTAAAAGCCCTACTATATCCATTACCTATTTCATAAATGGCCATGGGGAAATAACTGTATGTAATAACTCTGCAGGTCGATGCATATTGTTGGCATATCGTTGACATTTATCACACTTGGCTACAAAATTTTCTACCACTTCTTCCATTTTTGGCCAGTAGTATCCTGCCCTGATTAGTGTTTTAACTGATGATTTTTCGCCCGCGTGATTTTCGCAATGTCCATCATGTACTTCTCTCATTACGTACTCTGTTTGATTGGGTCCAAGGCACCTTGCTAAAGTACCGCCAAACATTTTTCGATATAAATTATCTTGGATTAAGCAGTAACGAGCAGCTTTTCATCGAAGCACTTGAGATTCTCTTGCCTTCAGGTACGATCCCGTACTGCAAAAAATTAACAATCTCGTTTCTCCAATCCCAGGTTAAATTATTAAAGCTTACCTCGTATTTATCCTGGTCAAGTGCTGAATGAAATAAATGTATTACAATAGCGTTTTCTTCACTCGTTACTTCTGCAACTGAAGCAAGATTAGCCTACGCGTCTGCTTCTGCATTTTCTTCCCTGGGTATTTGCACGATCTTCCATGACTAGAATTGCCTGACTAGTTCTCGTGCCTTTTCCAAGTATTGTTGCATTCGTGCCTCTCTGGCAGTGTAAGTCCCCTGCATCTGATTGACTACTAGTTGAGAGTCACTTTTAATCACGATTTTCTCTTTGGAGAGTTCTCGTGCTAATTCCAAACCTGCAATTACAGCTTCATATTCTGCTTCATTGTTAGTAATAGGGTAACACTTAATTGCTTGTCTTACACTTTTACCTGAAGGTGGGATCAAGACAATACCCAAACCGGCCCCTATGACGTTTGAAGAGCCGTCAATAAATAAACTCCACGTACCTGGATTAGCTCCAGTAAAAATTTGTAATTCCTTTTCTACTTAAGGAATTATTTTTGTACTAAAATCTGTGACAAAATCTGCTAAAACTTGAGACTTTATTGCTATTCTAGGTTGATAAATAATGTCATATTCACTTAGTTCTATTGCCCACTTGGCTAATCTGCCTGACAATTCTTGTTTATGCAAAAATATTCCTTAAAGGATATGAAGTTATTACGGAGATAGGATGACATTGAAAATACGATCTCATTTTCCTAACTGCCATGACCAATGCTAAAGCAAGTTTCTCTAGATGCGGATATCTAGTTTCAGTATCTAATAAAGATTTAGTAACATAATAAATAGGAGATTGTTTATCTTTGTCCTCCCTTACTAAAACTGCACTTACAGCTACTTTAACTGCAAGGTATACAAATAGTCTTTCTCCATCCCTTGGTTTAGACAGTAAGGGAGGATTTGATAAATATGCCTTCAAATATTTGAGGGCTTGTCGGCATTCTTCAGTCCATTCAAACTGATTTTGCTTCTTCAACACCGAAAAGAATTTAAAGCTTTTTTCTGAAGATCTTGAAGTGAATCTTCCCAAAGCTGCAATCCTACATGTCAATCTTTGTACCTCTTTTTTGCTTGTGAGTATATCGGGTATTTCATCAATGGCTTTAATCTGCACTGGATTTACTTCAATTCCTCGGTTAGAAACTAGGAAACCTAAAAACTTACCTGAAGACACGACAAACGCACATTTTTCAGGATTTAACTTCATAGTGAATTTGCGGAGAATTTGAAAAGTATCTGACAAATGTTGGATGTGATTCCCCGCCTGTGTTGACTTGACTAACATGTCATCAATGTAGACTTTCATGGTTTTTCCCAGATGTTCTTCAAACATCTGTGTTACTAACCTCTGATACGTGGCCCCCAGCATTCTTTAGACCGAAGGTCATGACTTTATAACAGTAAGTCCCCCTTTCTGTAATGAAAGAAGTTTTTTCCTCATCTGAAGGATCCGTTTTTATTTGATTATATCCTGAATAAGCATCTAAAAAACTCAACAATTCGTGCCCTGCAGTAGCATCAATTAGTTGATCTATGTGTGGTAGAGGAAAAGAATCTTTAGGGCAAGCTTTATTTAAGTCAGTATAGTCTACACAAACTCGCCACTTACCATTCTTTTTGGGTACCAACTATAGTATTAGCTAGCCAATTAGGATATTTTACCTCACGGATAGACCCGATTTTTAAAAGCTTTTGTACCTCATCCTGAATCACCTGGTTTTTGAAGGATCCTTGCTTCCTCTTCTTCTGTTTGACAGGTGGATACGTTGGATCTTCATTCAGCTTATGGGTCATCACCTCCGGTGGTATGCCTGTCATATCTGAATGCGACCAAGCAAAGCAATCTGCGGTAGATTTTAAAAATTCAATTAACTTACTTTTCATCTCTGGGCTCAAGTTATTTCCGATGTAAACTTTTCTGTCCAGCCAATGTAACAACACCACTTCAAGCTCCTCAATTGTTGTTTTAATGTTTTCATTCTCTTCTGGCTCTTGAATAGTATCAGGCCTCGAGTCTACATCCGTTTGTCCATCTTCAGTTGAGGTTTGAGTTGTTAAACCCTCAACTGAATTCTGTAGTCGCTATTTTTCATTTGCAACGTCATTTTGTATGCTTGAATCTGCCACTGAATTGATACTTCTGGAAGCCTGTTAATCACCACAGATTTGCCTAATTCCCCATTGCGAAGGGAACTTAATAACCTGATGTAAAGTAGACGGAACAACATCCATTTCGTGAATCCAGGGTCTGCCGAGGATTACATTGTACGCCATGTCCATATCTATCACTTGAAATTTCGTATCCTTGACTACTCCTTCTGTGAATGTGGTGAGTATTATCTCCCCTTTTGTAATAACGCTTGAATTGTCAAATCCAGATAAGGTACGCGCTTTGGGTACCAATTTATCATCAACTTGTATCTCGTTTACCACTCTTAAAAGAATGATATTTACAGAGCTACCTGGATCAATCGAAACTCGTTTCACATTAGTATTATGTACAAGTAGAGATGTTACCAGTGCATCATTATGTGGGATTAACACGCCATCTGCGTCTGCATCATCAAATGTTATACTGTCTTCTTCCAAAACTTGGCGAACTCGTTGTCCGTGGGTGACTGTGATTTTTGACACCTTTTTTGCAGCCGTGTAGGTCACGCCATTGAACTCCTCCCCTCCGCTTATGACATTAACCGTTCTCTTTGGTGACGGAGGTTTTGGTGGCTCCTGTCTATTCTTTATATATGCTTGCTTACCCTTCTCACTAAACAAATCGGTTAAGTAGCCTTGTTTTAATAAGTGCTCTACTTCAGCTTGTAGCAATCTACAATCTGCTGTTTTGTGACCGTGATAATTATGAAACTCGCACCAGAAATCAGGGTTTCTTCTATTTGGGTTAGATCTCATTTTGTTTGGCCACGACACCTAATCTCCCATGCTTCTTAAAACACCTACCAACTCAGATGTGCTAACATTGAAACTGTAACCACCAATCTTCGCTTTTGAACTTCTATCGTTGTCCCGCGTATCTCGCGTGTCTCGCTCCTTTCCAAACTTGGATGACGAACCCGAATCTCTATCCCTTGATCTGGAATCGTACCTCGGGTTCTCTTGTTTTGAACGTGAATTCCTTTCTGCTGGTCCCATGTAAGGTTCGTACCTATTCTTACCGGACCTCTTTTCAGTTTCTGGTCGCCTCGAACTTACTCTTTCATCTCCCCGTCACTGAGTGATAGTATCTTCTTCTATCCGCAACTTCGTACTATACCTGTTGTAAACATCATTCCAAGTTGTTGCAGGGAATTCTCGTAAGCTTTCTTTGAGTATCCTCGTGGCTTATGAGCTTTTTTCATTTAGATTACTTGCAAATGCCATAGCTGCCCAACTGTCCGGTACACGTGGTAACATCATTCTTTCACGCTGGAATCTATCCATGAATTCCCTGAGTAGCTCCGTATCTCCTTGTTTTATTTTGAATATGTCTTCCATCCTCTTTTTAATTTTTTGAGCTCCCGAGTGTGCTTTTATAAATGAATTTTCAAGCTCAGCAAAAGAATTAATAGAATTTTTAGGTAAAAGAGAATACCATGTTAGTGCTCCCTTTGTGAGTGTTTCACCGAATTTTTTGACCAACACTGATTCAATCTCTTGCTTGGTCAAGTCGTTGCCATTCACGCCAGTTATAAATGCGGTTACATGATCACGTGGATCGGTTGTCCCATTATACTTCGGGATATCGGGCATCTTAAACTTTTTTGGAATAGGCAAAGGAGCGGCACTTGGCTTCCATGGTTGTTGAGAATATTTATCCATATCCACTCCTTTGATTATAGGTGGAATACCAGGTATCTGCTCGATGCGATCGTTTTGCTCCTTGAGCTGTTTCTGCAAAGTTAGTACTAAACTTTGTAAATCAAAATTAATTGGAATACATGATCTTCCATCACGAGATTCGCTGGGAGTTCCTCCACTGCCCGAATTGGCGAGTCTCATGCGTGGATTTTCTATGGTTGCGGTGTTATACTTGAAGTTGGTGGTACAGTTGGTAACGCACTAACAAAATCTTGAAGAGCATTGTTGACTTGTTCTGCGATTAATTGCTTCAATGCTTCATCAATAGCTTGATCATCCCCATGTTGGTCATTCGCATGTGATATAGATCTGTCAGTTGACCCTTTTCGGGATTGTTGAGGAGAGTTTCGTGGTGAAGGGGCTGGAGTTCCATCCTCTTGTTGATTTTGTTGGTTCAACTGGTGTTGCTGATTTTGTTGGTTGTTGTCGCTAGCAGTCGATATGATTTTTTGATAGAAAAAAGAATTTGGAAAGTGAATAAATTATCAGATTCCCGGTAACGGAACCAATTTGTTTAACCAAAAAAGGAATTTCGGTCAAAGCCTATTTTTAGAAGTATTCGGGCTACTGATAATCAAGAAAATTAATATTCTCGTAATAAGAAAGGAAATTAGAATATGAAATATCAAAGTAATCAATAGAAAGCAAAAGAAAGTAATTATATTCCAATAATAATAAGAACATGTCCATACAGATAAAATTTCTTTCCCATATATAGTGATCTCCAAGTACAACGTCTTTTCCCTTTTATGACCGAGTCATTATGAGCATTAATGACATTAATAAAACGTTATAATTGGTAATCGTAACTGTTTCGTGAAGATTCTGTAACGTTTGTAATCATCCATGCTCATTAATTGAAGACCAATGAATCTGCCCTTTTTACTGTCTTGGTTCATTCTACCGGTGCCTCTTCAAACCGCTAAAGAGACTCGAGCAACCATTTCTTCTCATCTCGTGGGTGTTTTGCTCGTATCTATTAAGACTCACGTCTTCTTTAATGCTCTTCTCCAGCTGTCGCTTTTCTAGTGATCCACGTGTCTTGACATGTCAGCCACATAATCAATTTCACGTATAATATTCATTTTCTCCAATACAATGCCCCCACCCCACCCCACCCCATTTTTTTTCATCTCTTTGAGCTTGTTAAATATTAAAGCCAAAACATATTCATTTCTATAGTTTTTCAAAAAACTTTAAATATCGATTTGAAGTTGTTTACTGATCACGCCCAACTATGCCTTATTAAAAGGACTAAGCGGTAGCTGCAAATATAATCCGGTTCAAGAGCCCGGAGTCGAATCCCATAGTAACCTATTTACTACACTTTTAGTAACGGTAATGATAAGCTCAAACAATTTTCAGATACAAGATTTTATTTGATAATTAACAGAAATTATGTAACTAAGGAAAGATGACAATAAAAACTATCGATAAGCAAGAATGAAGTTGAATTTAGTGGTAAAAGTATTTAGGGTTATTGATTTCCCCAATTGTCGGATTAATTCCTGACACGTTAGTGTAACGACCCGACCCGTCGTTACGGGAGTTACCGCCCCGTTTTCCCCGTTTTATGCTTCTATATGTTTCATTATATGTGTTTGGAGAATTTGAAGTAATTCGGATAGAGTTCGGTTAGAAATGAGACAATAAGTCTCTTTATGAGAAGGTTAGTTTGGAAAAGTCAACCGAATGTTGACTTATGAGTTAGAAGGCTCGGAATGGATTTCCGATGATTCGACTAGTTTTGGGGGATGATTTGTGACTTAGGAGCGCAATCGGAATTGAATTTGGAGGTCCGGTGTAGAATTAGGCTTGAATTGGCTAAGGTTGGATTTTGGCGAATTCCGGATGGTAGGTGAGATTTTGATCCGATGGTCGGAATGGAATTCCGAGAGTTGCAGTAGTTCCGTTAGGTGATTTTGGATATGCGTGCAAAGTTTCAGATCATTCGGAGGTGTTTAGGTCGGGTTTTAGATCAAATGCAAGTTTCGGAAGTTTTAGTTTAACTTAGGCTTGGATCCGTGGTAATTCGATGATTTTGGTGTTTATGATAGTGTTTTTATGTTACGAGCAAGTTTGAATGAAGTAATAGAACATATCTGTGCATTTGGTTGAGGTCCCGAGGGCCTCGGGGTGATTTCGGATGGCTAACGGGGAGTTTTGAACATGAAAAAGTGCAGCAGAAATTGCAGAGGAATTTTCCTCTATGCGATCGCGTAGGTATGCCTGCGATCGCATAGAAGGTTCAGAGGGGGATGAAGATTTGCTCTATGCGATCGCGTATAGGGGTCTGCGATCGCATAGGTTGAGGAGATTGGGCAGTACGGTCGCGTGGGAAGTAATGCGATCGCGTAGAAGGGGGGAGACAGTGCTATGCGATCGCATGGCCTGTCCTGCGATCGCGTAAGAGGAATTGAGGACCTGGAAATTTTGGCCTATGCGATCTTTGTTTTCCAGAGCTTATCAGAGTTGTTGAGGTAGCTGCTTGACGTTCGCAGGACCTGACTACTCTTCCTATTTCAGTTTTATTTATATATATACATTTCCAAACTTGAGTATTTTCGTTCAGATAGTGTTATTCAAATTGTTTTAGAGGCTCTAGACTCGTGACCCCAGATCTTTTGGGAGTGTTTTTTATCAGACTTCGTATTTCTCAGTATTATTCTTCGATAAATATTGGATTATTATTCTAAAACTATTATATTCTCTTTAAATTGTCGGTTTTGAGGTTTACGGTTGATTTGGGAACGACTGTGGTCAGGCTTGCCTAGAAATTGTGTTAGGCGCCACCACGATCGGGTTTGGGGTCGTGACAAGTTGGTATCAGAGCCTAGGTTACTAGGCCTCGCGAGTCATGAGCCGGTTTAGTAGGGTCTCGCGGATCGGTACGTAGACGTCCGTATCTATCCTCGGGAGGCTACAGAACCTTTAGGAAACACTTCACTTTCTTGAAATTCATATCGTGCGGCTTGTTATTATGAAAACTAAATTTCCGTATTCTATTCTCTCGCAGATGGCGAGAACCCGTGCTAACGGACGTGGCAGACGACCACCAGTGCCACCTAGAGGCCGTGGTCGCGGTAGAGGCAGGGCAGCAGGGACAGCAACTGCTGACCCACCAGTTGACCAGGCTCAGGGTCAGATTCCAGCACCAGTTGACCAGGCTCAGGGTCAAATTCCAGCTGTAGATGCTCCAGCAGCACCTGTTCAGGCACCGGCAGTGCCCATCGTGATTCCTGGTCTCCAGGAGGCTTTTGGCTC